AGGCTGTGCTTTTAAGTCAGCTTTCCTAACTGTCATTCTCCGCTGCTGTCCCAGAGGACATCTGCACCGGGTCACTTCACAACACATGAAATTACCACAGTAGTTAGATGGTGATATGCTAACTATATTTCTCTTAAGAAATGAAAGTACACCTTAGATTGACCGTATCAGCTCTAAAGTGAGCGTAATCATTCTATAATGGCATGCCTGTCTTACAAAGTCAAGTGAACACTGAGTGAATAGCAACCCTCTGCCCTGAGGAAAAGTATCTCTCCTCTCCCCTTTCTCTTTTCTTCCCTTCACACCTCTCTGTCTCTCTGTCTCTCTCTCTCTCTCTCATACACACACACACACACACACACACACACACACACACACACACACACACTGAATTGAAGAGAAAACTCAATCTCATACAGATTGTAATTTTATGTATCGATAGCACACAAACCCACAGAGGACAACTTTCAAAAGTCAGTTCTCTCCTTCCACAGTGGGTTTAGGGAATGGAACTCAGGTGGTCAGGCATGGGTGGGCACCTTACCACTGAGCACCATACCCTGAGCACCTTACCAGCCTGTAATTTTAAAGCCTAGAAACAACTCATACTATTGGGTTCTACTTCCTTTATTTTTCAAAAGAGAATGAAATTCCAAAGCATTCTGTGCCCCTGGTGGGGTGTGCCCACAGCTGAGGTTCAAACTCAGGCAGAGCTGGTGCTCCTCACACCCTGTGCTTCCACCCTCTGGCAAAGGCTGAGGAACACTCAACACTCAACACACTCCAGTTTCTCCGTGCTCTCTCCAGGGACATGGACTGGCTCGGCTCTGTAAGTGCTAATGTGGGGGTTATAATTAAACTTTAACAAGTAGGTAGATTTACAAGCACAAATTTTGATAATGAGAGTTTTCTGTATCTTTCTTTAAATGAAGTCGTTTACATCCAAGATGATGTCGAGCAAACAAAACTGGCAAAAGCAATTAGTCCAAAGTGACAAGAACAGTGTGCATCTTACCTTGTTTCTGAGATTGGGAAGGCTTCCTCCCTCCAAAATGGTGTTTTCCATCTCTCTCAGCCACAAAGCCGGAGGATAGAGTCACATTACTGGGCTGGTTTCTCATTTTCTTAGCATGTTTTCTTTCCTTTGCATTAGACATTTCTGAAAAAAAAGCAATACACTTAATAGAGAAAGAGGAACTCTCACAAAATGAGTTGCCAGGTGTGGTTGCTCACATCAGCATCTGGAAAGCAGAGGCAGGAGGTTCACAAGTTCAAGATCACCCTTTAGCTACACAGCATAAAGTCAGCCAGAACTACCTGAGACCCTATTTCAAAACACAACAAAAGAATACAATTTTAAAATGAGCCAGTATCATGCCTCAGCAGGTAAAGGCAATAAATCTGACAGTCTGAGTTCAATCCTGAGACCTACACAGTGCAGGCAGAGAGCCTACTCCCAAAAGTTGTCTTCTGACAACTACATGCCCACCAAGGTATGCCCCTAACCCAACACAAATAAATAAGAAAGGTAAAAATAAAAACAATTTTAATAAATATTTATATAACTCAAAGTTTAATGATTCCAAAATGTTACCATATTAATCTATAGCAAGGATTCCAAAAAAGAGATTTCAGTGAAGCCATGAACGGGACGTATCTCAAACTCATCTCAATAGAAAGAAGTTTCTTAGCAAGTCATCCTTGCTGCTGCACACTTATAAACCCAGCACTCTGGGCAGAGTGGGGGCTGGGCAGAAGGAAATCTTCAAGGTTGACACCAACCTAGGCTACACAGGAAATACCAAGCCATCCTGGGCTTCACAGTTTTTGTCTCAAAAAACAAAGGAACAGAGTTTTTCATGGAACTGTCCCAAATGGCATATTTTGCACTGTCAAATAATTAAACTACATACAACCGCTAATGATGTATAAAATTACTTCTAACACTTTATCTTGGTTCTTAGCTGAAATAAAGAAGACTGGGGTAAATTATGATTAAAATATTTGAGTCTAAACGGAAGATAAATTACTGGCATTTTCACTCAGACTTCACTTCAGGTGAATCACAAAGGATGACTGCAGGGAGAACCTGATGGGTTCATTTCGGACTTCCCACACCTGGGCCAACACCGTCCTTTATTCAACTTCAAACACTTGTTTTCTTTTTCGAAATAAAACTCCTAACATGGCTGACAAGAGATGTAACTTTTAACAATACCCCACACTATGTAGCATAAAGACCTGAGAGGTTACTTTAATAAAACAATATGTATTTCTGTATGTATTTTTCCACAACTATACTAGATAACAGTCTGAAATGGAGATTTTGAACCTAACGAATATATACATCAACAAAGGGACCAACATTGGCACTTGGCATAATTCATAAAGCCTGAGACAGGCCCTGGAAGCTTTCACTCCTTCCAACAGCCATTAACTCTTTTGCTGATGGAGTGAAGGCTTAAATGTACACCGTGGAAATACTGAAATACAGGAAAGCTCAGAGCAGCAGTTACCAAGCCTGCATTTCAATTCTTTAATATTAGAATTTACTTCTACCAACACATAAACTTCATGTAGACAACAGCAAAGACAAGTGTGTTATTCTTGTGCCTCAAAGAAAAGGTGACCAAGACACTAGTGATGTAATTTTCCAAACCAGTGAACATTGTGAGATTCAATCCAGGCTAGCTAGCTCCATTCAATATTCCTAAAACTCAAAACAACTGGAGACTGAGAGCACATATGAAATAGTCTATACGGAGATAACTGCAACCTCAGGGAAAGCCAGTAAGAAAATGTCAGCTGTCATCCTTGTTTAGGAATATCGTGAATCAGAAGTCGGGAGGACTAGAATAAACATGGGTAGAAGACGGGCCCAAAAAGGCTGTGAGGTCCCAGCAGGAAGCTCTTTTATTCCAGGATGAAGCCCTAATCCGAGAAAAGGGTCTCATCGTTCTTGAATAATAAGCAGGGAAGCAGCCCCTCAGCATTATGTAGGACCAGATGACAAGAAGTAAAGAGGATTTTCTTACAGTACATACTGACATGGGTCTGGCCTTTGTGATTGTCACACAGCACTTAGCAGACTACCATAAACAAAATGTGGGATCAAAACAACGCAAGTATTGGATATTCACATGCACATATAAATGAAGTGTGACTGTAAAGCATACATTAACAAGGTAAGAAACATTTAGTCCGGTACTACATTCTTCCTGACAAAGCATAAAAACTGTATATAGCCTCAGAGCTTCTTCAACTGTGGGTTACAACCCCACATAGGGTCATGTAGCTAAATGCGGGGTGATGAAAAATCTAGCAAGAACAATTCAACGGTAGTGAATCCAAGGTTCCTGGCAGTGTTCAGCTGTGCTGTACCTTCACTACAGCCTCAGTTCAGAGTGACAACCCACGAATCCACACCACACAACACCAACAAATACTGCCTGAAACATCTCAGCCAAGATTCCAGGCACATTATGAGCTCAGTGTTTTTACTGTACACAGGTTTATGCTCTTAAGAAACAATGGTATAAGAACAAGCCTAAATTTTTCTTAAAATTGTTCTCATCATTTGCCAAATCAGCACATTTTCAGATTCTACTGGGTTGCACTGCTTGATTTCAAAAACTACTGTTTGAGTTGCTAACTTAAGTTTTAAATCATTAATTTTGGTTTGGGGGTGGGATAGACTTTTCCAACAATTGGCCCTAATCATAGTTCCGACTGTACTACGTATTTAGGCAAAATATCATCTCAGCACTGACTATTATGAAATCAAACAGATCAGCTCTGAAAAAAACCCTAGATGCTTTGTGTCCTGCAGTATCAAATACTCAGCTATCTTAGAGAGTGCAAATTAGTTTTTATCTTTCTCAAAAGGCAAAATTACACCAAATCCACTAAAAAATTGCTTTAAAATACACTTCTTTATATTTTATCGATTACTGCTGATTAGTGCATCTTCTTTATATACGCAGGGTCGTGAGTGGGAAAGCTGAAGTCATGAGCTAGGGGAAGATGACTCTCCTCCGGAAAGGACACCCCAGTCACTAAGGGCTCTGCTCAAATCTTGAGGCGATCGTGCACAGAAAGGAAGAAGAGGCTGGCGAAAGGCAGACAACGCCACACCTCTGCTTGGTTCCCCCGAATAACCCATCCTGGTCCCTTACCATACCCGGAAAAGGATACAAACGCGTTCCCAGAGGGGATTCCGTCTGGCAGGGCAACGACAAGCATAAAACGAGCGCAAGAGCCAGAGGCTCTGCACTGCAAGAGGGCCCGCCCAGGCAGCATGGACCTCGGCAAGTGGAAGATGCCGCAAGCCGATCCGGCCACTGTGGGCAAGCCCACACACGCGACCCCCGCGAGCTGGCGGTCCCCGTTAGGCACTAGCGCCTCACCACCAACCTGCCAAGTGCTGCGAGGGCTTCGCCGGTCAGACTAACAAGGTTCTGAGACCCCCTAGAAGCTCCCACCACATCCGATGAGCGACGGCGAGCTGAGGGCGCATGCGCAGCACGGCTGCTTCCTCCACGTGTTCCGGAGTCGCATATGAACTACAATTCCCATCGAGCCGTGCGAATTCACCCGGGGCGGTCCCTGAACCAAAACCCTTTTACTTAGCTCTTACCAGAGCTATCTGGTCAGTGGTGAAGAGTGGTTGTAGTTACCGTCGTTTCTTCTTCTGGAAGGTCTTCAAGAGGGAAGGATTAGTATGTCGTCTATAATCAGAAAGGTGATCAGCACCACAAAAGCCCCGGCAGCCATTGGTGCCTACAGGTAATGTTTCTTACGGTAGCACTGAAGGATCAGATGGGTTCGGGGTTGCAAGTTTCGAGCTCCAGCCTCTGGAGGTCCGAAAAGAGTCTCAGAACCCCACCACCACCCAGTTAGAACGCGCGAAGCAACTGAATTCAGAAAGAGGACAGTGCGTCGAAATCCCTCAGGGAATGGGGGAGCCCTGGTGTGACCAGAAGCTTGCACTCCTGGGATCTTGCCTCCTTCTGGAGCGGCCCGGCCCCGAAGGCGAGCTTGCCACACGCTTTCTCTGTGTAGAAGTAGTTAACACCCTAACCCTTTCGTCTTGGTGACTTCTGGTTTTGGTTTTCGTAACAACTTTATTAAGATAGAATGAACAACTCATCGAATTCTCATTCCGTTTAGTGGGTTCAATTCAGTGGCTTTTACCATGCCCACTTTCTACTCTCAAAAAAAAAAATTTACATCCACCCTGAAATAAGGTTTATGCCGTTAGCTTTTATTCCACATGACCTCTTCCCCCAGCTCCTACAACCAAGCATTTATTAACTCTCCATCACTATAGGGTTTATCTGTTAAAGACGTTTGCTATAAAAAGTATAATACACTTTTTGGTCCTCTGTGACAAGCTTCTTTTGCTAGCATGAAGTTCGATCTAACCCTTTCTTAATTTACAAGATATGCTTGTCTCATTTGGACAACAATACTCAGCAAATACCTGTATGTCTGTCCAAGTCCCTGGTTTCTACAACATGTAAGAATGCTATAACGTGAATGAATGGTTTGCCCATGCCTTAACCATGCCCATATACCACTAATATCAAATGCAAGTAACACCAAAGGTGATCTTCTGAGTTTACCCTATATACTAGAGCTAATCATATATGTACTGGACAAAAAAATCTACCCTTTGGCATTCGTCTCCACTTACCTGAAGTGCTTTTAAATAGAAATGGTGCTTTCTTTTTCCTTCCTTCTGTGGAAGCTGTGAAGGACAGGGCCTCACTCTGTAGCTCAGACTAACCTAGAACCTGCCATTCTCCTGTTTGAGAATTCTTAATGCTGACATGAGGACCAGCACAGCTAGTTTAAAACCTTATTCCTCAAAATGCCTCAGCTTTAAAAATCACTGGATTGTATCTTAAATAATCTTCTCCTCACTAATTTTCCAAGTCTTCACTAAAATGCATGTAGAGCCAATTCCTTTTGGAAAAGTAGTTTCTGACATAGTGTCTCTTTGCTGTCAATCAAAACTGAAGATTTTCTATAGCTGCAACGTTACTGCTGTAGAAGGTGTATAGTTCGTGCCAAGTATTCAACCGATACAAAAATGTGTAAGAAGAAGAAGCCTTAGTTGAGCAAATGTTACAAGACAGCCACTATGACGGCCATCTTTAAGTTGTCTCTCCACTTTTCAAAAGGACAAACTCAAGGTCAACCTTCTCAAGGAGATATAGTCTGCAAGTGACATCTTGGCTTGAACTCAGACCCTAGCTCCCTATTCAAGAGAAATAATAGTCCATGTGGCAAAGCAGTAACTGTTATAATAGGATTGGAAAGGAAACTTAATGAGATGAGAAACCAAACGAAAGGGAGGAAAACTGATTCTGATTTGGAGCAGAGAAAGAAAAAAAGTTTTGGAGACGCTCCCTGTAAAAGGTAGTCAGGTTAAACTTTAAATGTTGGGGCTTTTTTTTTTTCTGATAGTGTTATGACGTTTGACTCGTCAAAGTTAATTAGTTATGGACTGACATTCCTACCAGAGGAAATAGCGTAAGTGCGGGGGCAGAGGTAAAAGAACACAGAATGTAGAGATTGGGGGGGGGGGGGATGATAGTCTTTCAGTTGAACTACTTTTTCTTCTCTCAAACTGTATACCTGGTGTTTTATAACATTTTCTTTAAAATGACTTACTTTCACTTAAATTAATTTTAAAAGAAAACTATCAAAATACTCTAAATAGAAAATAATACAAAATAAATTAACTATTAAAAAAAAACTCTCAAATAAAAAGTATTAGTAAGTTCCAAACGTCTATGTACATGTTACAGTTGGCTCAAAACCTTGGGCCTGCTCTCTTTGTTAAAGTGTTTTTGGCTGGGTCTGGAGAGATGACTCAGCAGTTAAGAGCACTTTCTGCTCTTCCAGGGAGCCAAGTTTGGTTCCCAGCACCCACATCAGACTGGTCACTACCATCTGTAACTCCAGCTCCAGAGGATCCAGAGGATCTTCTGGCCTCCCTGGGTATGTACACAGGTGGTGTACATATACTCGTGCACATAAATAATCATGATAATTTCAATGTCTCTCTGGCTGAGGATGGATGTAGCTCAGTGAAAGACCATCCTGATCATATATGAGGCCCTGGGTGTGCACCACCACCGCCCAGCTACGACTCCATTTTTCATATGTGAGAGCTGACATATATCAAGTTGAATAATTTGCCAAGGTTACTCCACTAAGTAGTTTAATACAGTTTGAAAGTGTAATGGACTCAAGGGCTCAGTCTGAATAATTTCATTTGTTGTTCCCAGCTTAAAAGAATTGAAAGAAAACCAAAAAATGAAGATATGATTCCCTGTCTATGGGTGACTTTCTGGGGGAAAAAAACATTCAAAAGTTGGCATTAAGAATTGGACTTTGTTGGGAGGCAGAAGCAGATGGATCTCTGAGTTTGAGGCCAGCCTGGTCTACAGAGCGAGTTCCAGGACAGCCAGGACTATACAGAGAAACCCTGTCTTGAAAAACCAAAAAAAAAAGAGTTGGACTTTGGATTTAAATTCTTAGCTGGCTTCTTTTTAATGGTGTGACCTTACAGAGAGACTTTGTCTCCTAGTTTGCATCTTTATCTTCTAAATAAACATAAGTAGTAATACTAGTTCTTAACCTTAATGAGGAAGGGATCAGTCCAACAATCTTGTTTAAGGATAGTAATTCTGGTAGAAATTTGGAGCAGAGTAAAAACAGGAGATACTATTATGTAATTAAAAATTAGTGCTAGGCAACAGTGTTGCATGTCTTTAATCCCAGCACTCAAGAAGCAGAGGCAGGCCGGGCGGTGGTGGCGCACGCCTTTAATCCCAGCACTTGGGAGGTGGAGGCAGGCGGATTTCTGAGTTCGAGGCCAGCCTGGTCTACAGAGTGAGTTCCAGGACAGCCAGAACTACACAGAGAAACCCTGTCTCGAAAAAAAAAAAAAAAAGAAGCAGAGGCAGGTGGATATCTGTGAGTTGAGGACAGCCTACAGAGTTCTCGGACAGTTAACACAGAAAAACTGTATCTTGAAAAACAAACAAAAACACTAGTAATTTTTTTGTTCCTCCCTAACCTAGCCCTTTCAACTATTGGTGATAGTCACACAAGAATAACTTCTTTACATCAGAACAAAAGACATCTGTTGCAAAAGAGACACTATGACCTGAAGCCTGGTAACCAAAGTGTGTCTTCTGTCAGACAACTATTGATCTTGGTAATGTGTGAGCTCCTCTCAGGTTACACAGAACCATTAGTTAACACTGTTAACAGCCCCTTGTAGAATTAGTCCCTCATCCTGTTTAGAACTGCCTTGCATGGAGACCAGTGTCTGATCCCTACCAAGCACCTACATAAACAATATGTGGTAGCCCTCTTGTGATAACAGTATGTGAGAGGCAGAGACAGAAACTCGCAAGCTGACTAGATAGACTAGTCAAATCAACAAGTTCTGGGTTCATGTGAGAGACCCTGCCTCAATATACTGTATAAGGTAGAGAGGGACTGAAGAAGGCACCTGATGGCCACTTCTGGCCTCCATATGGTATGCTTTGGGAACTATTTCCCAAAAATAAAGTCTTTAGTGTATGAAGTTTGTGCTGAATACACTTTTTGAAATTCTAGCTTCTTTTTTTTTTTTTTTTTTTTTGGTTTTTCAAGACAGGATTTCTCTGTGTATCTCTGGCTGTCTTGGAACTTACTCTGTAGACTAGGCTGGCCTTGAACTCAGAAATCTGCCTGCCTCTGCTTCCCAAGTGCTGAGATTAAAGGTGTGTGCCACCACTGCCTGGCAGAAATTTAGCTTCTCTCGAGAGAATCCTAATGTGCTGGGCTTTTTAGTCCTCAATACTGGGATGAATGGAGTGTTGTTACTGATTAGCTAAGCACAACTGAGCACATTTTCGGACACTGAGGACAGACCTGGAAGGATTCCAACACCAGTGCTATTGAATGGCTTTTCTGTTTCATTAGCACTGCCATAATGTGGCATGGATCATGACTTGAAGCTTAATTGGAATGTTTCTGAAAGTTTTACCACCTCTGATTTGGGGCTTGGTTTGCTTTCATTTGGGTGTTTTTCTGTGTGTGTGTTTGGTTTGGGTTGGTTGGTTGGTTGGTTGTTTTCAGGCAATCTCACTGTGGTCCCAAAGAGCCCAGAATTCACTACACATCCCAGGCTGGCACCACACTCAAGAGCCTCCTGAATACTGGGGTTATAGGTTTGCACCATCATGCCCAGTGTTACTTCTGGACAGGAAGTAGAATAAAAGACTTTTAAAGTTCTGGAGCCTGCATGGATGAAATGGTTCTGCAGGTAAAAGCCTCAGTGTCCCAAAACCCAATGTCTGAGTTTAGTACCTGTATTAGTCAGGGTTCTCAGAGTCACAGAACTTATGGGTAGTCTCTGTATAGTAAGGGAATTTGTTGACTGCTCACAGCCTATAGTCTAATTCCTCAACAATAGTCCTCAGCAGCTGTGAATGGAAGTTCAAGGATCTAGCAGTTGCTCAGTCCCACAAGGCAAGCAGGCGAAGAGTCTTCCTTCCAGTGTCCTTATGTGGGTCTCAAGCAGAAGGTGTGGCCCAGATTAAAGGTGTGTGCGCGCCAAGCCTGGATCTGGGACTTGCTTTGACCCAGATGACCTTGAACTCAGAGATCTCCTTGCCTTAGTCTCCTGGGATTCATAGCTACTATGCCTCAAGATCTCCATGCCAAGATCCAGGTCAGAGACTTGTATCTCCCAGCCTCAAGATCAGGATCACAGGTGA